TGTACCCAAATGCATCCTCATGGATTTGTTTAAATGTGTGCCATGTGTTTTTATTTATTGCATGAATTTCTTGAGCTGCTGATGGAGACTCATTTCAGGTCACGGATGCTTGCACGGCTTGCTTTGAGCAACGTACGGTATTTACTCAGCAGGTTTTGGAGAAGTCACTCAATCAATTGGTACTTACATTACCGCTGCAATTGGAGTTTTGTGCGTCTTTTTTTTTTCATCTTGCCTAATAATTTGAACTGTCTTGCAGGTTGACAGAATACCAATTCCTCTTCTTTTTATGAGAACAGTTATTCAAGCGCTTGATGCTTTCCCTGCTTTGGTATGCTGATTTTATTTTGAGTTATACACAACGAATTTTATCTGTTCATATTTGTTGGTAAAAAGCTTGATCATCTATTCCTTTTGTAATCAGTGTGTACACTCTTAAATATACTATTATATCTAAACGGTAACTTGCCAACCAACCTATTTGTACATATACACTTGCTAATCAGATGCATATAATTGTAATAAACCTTTTCCTCTATATTGTTTACAAAGACAATAGTTTTGTTTCAGAAACTCTGAACAACTCATTCTTGCCAGTTCACGTTGTTTTCTGTTTTCCAAATTATTATATTTTGGCACATAAGAGCAGTCTGAAGAACATTGTTTTTCAGATTTTCGCTCATCTGACCATTGTTACTTATTCAGGTTGATTTTGTCATGGGAATACTCTCCAGGCTCGTCAATAAACAGGTCTAAAAATTTCTAGTGTATCATGCAGTCATACTTTATTTTAGGACCTGTTTAATTTCCTATGCTGTTATTGATTGAGCAAACAATAATCCATGCTATATCAAAGCTTAACAAAAATCCCATAAAGTTGTTTCTTAGGTATATTCTTTAAGTTTGTGTTGCTATATTCTTACCTAGTGAAAGAAGCCAGGTTGACATTTATATATGATACCATTCAACTGTTCTAACTCATGTGGTGTAACAAAGCTTAACCAAAATCTCATAAAGTTGTTTCTGTCGCTATATTTTTACCTAGTGAAAGAAGCTAGGTTAACAGATATATACGCTACCATTGGAGTGTTCTACCTCATTTCGTGTGTAGTTCACTTTTTTATATATGCAACTTGTTAGAAACCTAATATAGCCATTGTGCCTTGTTTAGCAGATTTGTTATCATTGATGCGTGCTGATATAGCATGTAGTTTGAAATTCTTTTTGGGTACACACACAAAACAAACTATTCTTGTAACTTAAGATCGCAAAGAAACTGAGGAGGAAGGCCATTAAGTAGGTTTTCTGTTTTGACTAATTGAGTTCTGAGCCTTTGGATTTATTTTTCTTGCTGCAGATATGGAAAATGCCAAAGCTATGGGTTGGGTTTTTAAAACTGTCATTCCAAACTCAGCCACGTTCTTTTGATGTCTTATTACAGGTATACCTTGTTATGCAACTGAAACATTCATGTATATCCATTATTCAGTTTTACTGATATCCATTCATGCTTGCTACATGTAGCTACCTCCACCACAACTTGAATTTATGTTGAATAAATATCCCAATCTTCGGACACCTCTTTCTTCCTTTGTTAATCAGCGGAATATGCATAACACCTTGCCCAGGTACCTTCGCAATATTTGTATTAGTGTTACAAGCTTCTCAATTTTCATACACCCACCCTTTTGATGGCTTGAGATACTTAAGCCTCCAGTTAAGTTGCTATAAACTGAGTCACCCACACTATTGTCGGTTTCTTTATTTTTATTGGTTTGCTGTGTAAAATTGCTGAAAATGCAAGTTCGGGGTGGGGGTGGGGTGGGGCAGGGGCTGCTTATGATAAATCAAGACCCTTAAAGAGATCCTTTGATGTGAGTATTTGTGCTTGGACTAGCATCCAAGGATTCATCTCCTTTCTAAGGTCTGGAATCTATGATGGCCTTCTATTTTTTATGCAAATATCATTCTTTGGTTTAAGCACACAAATATAAAATCAACTCCTATTTTTCATTGCAAGAAACAATTCAAAGTGGTAGCAAAGATCACATCGAGTTTTACACATGTTGTACTGTGAGTGCCAACTTCATATCGTGTGCCCTAATGGTTTCAAACCGTGTCATGTTCATTCAGATATGTAACTTTTACTCGGTTTTTTAGTCATCTCAGTATTCCATCAATGAAGTGATCAATAGTATCATAGTTGTTGGCTTGTTGCATTCTCTGTGTTTTTATTTCTGATGTGCCTTGTCTGGTGTTTCTCATAATTGCAGACAGATTTTGAACATTCTGGGTTTTCTTAGTGAACCACAGCAGGCACCAATGACGTTTGTGCCTGCTACATTACAAACAGCGGATGCAACCACCTCTCTTCCTGGTGCAACCCTGATGTGAATATAATGTTGTGGAAGCCATCAGACGCAAGAAAGGTCAATGCACATACAGATGTTCGTAGACAATAGTGCGCAGAACAGACGGATCATCAATGAAGATTGCTGCCCCTCTGATGTGTACTATTTTGCAATGACTGATTATAAGCAACTCCGCATGGAGAATGGGAGATGTTGACAGGAGCCACCGAGGTGATTGTATGGCGTGAGGTCCTGTTTGTGTCCTGGAGATTGGAGATTTTGCTCCAGTGGAACGGAAGTCATCCAACTTGTATAGTAGCTTTACTATTGTGGCAATTTATAGTCGTCGTGGTTCTGGGAGTCTGGCCCTTGCAGATAAAAAGGACGGAGAAGGCTGTTTACAGGAAAGTCGGAATTACCCCATCTTCACTGTTTTCCAACGAGGAAGTCAGATTACAGCTGCTGCATTCCTTTCATTGGGAGCAGGCATTAGACTAATTTACTCTAACCATTGTTGTAACAATTTGTCTGTGTACATTAGTTAATAATTGAGTTTTGCTGCTAGTGTTAGCGAACACATCTGCTTCCATTTGTTTGGACATCATTTCTGCCGTCAGTAATTTCCCGCCATGAGCCCTTAATCAAGAAAAATATTTTAGATCGGATCAATGCATCATATGTCTATTTCTTTGATTTCATATTCCAATAGGTTTCTCGTTGGAGTCTGTAACGACCCAAATGATCATTATTTGTAAGATAATCAGCATTACACGAGCTACATCTACTGGGCATAATTGCATCTAATGTTCAAAGACGTCCTTGAGCTCCGTTTTTCATCCAGCCGTGACTTTGCCAAACTCTAGGACGCACGAGCATAGTAGCAGGCCCATCTCGATCCTCAGCCCAAAATGCCACGCTCGGTCCTTCGCCTTCGCGGCTTCGCCGCCGTCGTTCTCGTTGCAGCCGGCCCCAGCCGGGGGCGGCGAGTGTGGCGGCCGTTGCGGGCCCGCGGCAACACGTGCGAGTGGCCGGCGTGGGGCCGTGGTTAGGCGCACCGGAGGCGACCGGTGTGGCGCATAGGGGCAGCGGTAGCCAACGCAGCTGCACGGGCGGACGTCGCAGGCGAGAGCTCCATGGTGCGAGGGCCGAGGCCGCGGGCCCGACGAGCGGGTGCAGCATGTGGAAGCGCGGGCGCGGCGAACCAAAGAGCAGGTGTGGCGGAAGTACTAGCTACGACGACGAGCTGCAGTCACTGGAGATGGCTAAAGGCCTTCTTCTCCTCTTCCATGGCGATGGCGTTCCTTCTCCAGCGCTAGGTGGCACGGCAATGAGGAAGACGGCGGCGGAGGCAAAGGACTAAATCGCCATGGTGAGCTATCGTAGCGCCTTGGGCTGAGATGGGCTAAGGCCCAGAGCATGGAAGCCTGGTGGAGCCGGTCACCGTTCGATCTCAGCGAAGGGTCAGATGCCTGGACGCGACGTTAGAGGATCTCGCCACAGCGACAAAACGACACCTCCCTCTTCTTCCCTCCTTTGCTCCCTAGTCCCTACAGGGCAGCACACTGCACACCATCACCAGGCGAGGTGCGCAAGAGGGCAACGACGTTGGGCGAAAAGAACGGTGTACACGCCAAGAAAAAGGGTACAGGGGGAGATAGAACTCCCACCTTGATTTTTGGAAAGATAGAAGTAATTTGTGGCCACAAAATAAAGCGGATATATAGGCTATTGAGGAACCGATGGAGAAAGACAGTTCAATAAATATGAAGTGTTGTCAGTACTTCCAGAGGTGCTCTAAACCCCGAGGTGGCAAGCAGCAGGCTCAACAAGAATTAAAGAATGATACTACCGGACTGCACAACTAACCACGAATGATTTGGGTATGCCGGAATAGTGGAATCACAAAAGCAGCAATAAAAAAAAAACAAATGATAAGACGAATGGCTCAAGGTCGCGCCTTCCAGCATTCCATCTAGCGAAAGCCTGATCTTAGCTCTTACAGGAGTACTACATTATTCCTTTTCCGAGGTCCCCTACAGTAGCATGCCCAATCCTCAACTCCACGACACCGCAAGTCCAGTCTCTGAATTACACTAGCACCAGATGTACAATTCCATAGCTGAACGGCCTCATGATGATCCACTTTCCTCAGCAACTGAGTCTGAGAATAGATTTTGCAGCATTGCTCTTATCCAAGTCATATCAACAAGAATTGTGCCAGTCTTTGCATGTAAAATACGCATGCAGAGCAATAGGGCCATTACGGCATGGTCTGTCCATAATCTGGCATCGCCTGCTCAAAAGTTTCCATGAGGTGAGCAGAAATATGGCACTGCAAGTTTGCAAAGTTTACAAGGTAGAGAATCATGCACCTTCCGATTCTTGCTGTCCTCTGTGGAAGACATGAGCTTTTCATCTGCTTACTGTGATTAATAAATATAGTAAAGCTCACGACTTCAAGGACAGGTGGATAAGTTCATCTTCAAAATCACCAAAACTTCAGTTCAGGTAATGGAGGAAGCATTAGAAGGCAACAAATTACAATGGTAACAGAACTAGAGAAATTTAAATCAGTTGATTATTAATGAACTAACCCATCCTGTCTTTAGCCAAAACCCCATCCAAAGCTGCAAATTGTTGAACCATGCCCTAAAGACCAGTGATGTATCCACCTGATATCAAATGAAACCTGAGGGTGTATGCTGAAGCAATTATTGTAAGAATAGTAACATGCAAAAATTGTGATTTGATTATACTTACCACACATGATAAACAACCAAATTCAAGAAGTTCCATACAGAAACATGTTGCCTGGGACATAATATCAAGTTAGGAAAATTTCAAAACAAAGCTAAGAAAGCATATCTAGATGACCACGACATGTCTGGCAGTCTAGAAGATGTCACGAACTCCTCTCACCTTGACCAAGGATAAGGACTGAATCCTTGGAGATAGATACAATGTCCTGAACTCTTTCGCTTGTAAAGATTGCTTCAATAGCTGCACAAGACATAATTAGGTTCAACCGAGGCAAGGTCATTATGGTGTACATGTTATACGATAAAATTAACCTGAAAAAAGAGAGCAACAACAAATGGAAAACATCGGTGAACTGACAGTTGATTTTATTTAACAGGTTAGCATGAGCCAAACGAAAAGTAAAACAATGCACAGCCAGGCAAATTTCACTTATTTTTTTGAAATAAAAGGTAAATTTCACTTATACATCACGTAAATTTATAATTTGTGGTCAGATTAAGCTAAGAATAAGATATTTGAAAGATAAGATGTATGATTGAAGAACTAGGTGAATATGCCACAACCTGAAAGCTTCATAGTTGCTACCTCTCTTTCTCCGGTAACGTCTCCATTGTCACCATTGGGGGATTCAGTCTCAACCACTGACATTACATGTACAGTATGTCCACCATCTGAAACCCAAAAAATTTGTGTCTCTGCACAAACACTCTGAACATATTTATTAATGAAGTAAACCATAATGTGAAATAAGACAACAAATTCAGAACAAGAACTCACTTATAGAGGTAACTGAAAAGACAGCAGAAAATTGCACTTTCATGGGATAATCCAAGCGATATGTATGGATATTTTCAGAATATTGCTTGCTGGCAGCTCCTGAGACCATTTCTGTTGTTGAAAGATTGAAGACATGCAACACTCCAGATGAATCCAGTACCAAAAACTTGTTCTTGGAAAGAGGATGGATCGAAACAGCTTTCACTGATTTCAGCAATTCCATGCTGCCTTCTGACTTGTGATCATCATTTTGAAATGCCAACAAAAAAGAGCAATAGCTTCCTGAACTCTGTTTTACCCTCAGAGTTGTGAGCTTACCTGAAAAGCATAATTTTGGACCACAGATTAGTTGATTCTGACTTCTGAGTAGATTCTACGACACACCTATATCCAGTAGTAATATACCTCTACTTTAGTATCAATATAACCTGTACAATTTATCAAAGAATCATGTACGGTTGACATGGTTGGATCACAGCGATCAATCCCACACAAAGCATTCCCTGAAGAATGTAGTCCTTTGAGAGGCTAGAGTCTATTTATATCACTAATGAAGATTGAACGCTGGATATGCTTCGTCCATTGCAATAATTTTATTCCTATTTTTCATACACAGCACCAAGAGGTCTGGACACAACTTTGCCTTGCTCTATTTCCTCTTATCATTATGAGGATATCAATATCAATATATAACTAACTTCGACAAAACGCATATGATCACTGTCTCTGCATGGACAGCAATATATTGCAATAGGATAGACCGACTATGCTAATTATCATCGAACTCAACAAAACTGGTTGCTTACCGCTCAAATCTCTAATAAGTCGGCATGAGACAGACATGTTCAGGTAACTACAAACACAAGAAATGTAGAAGTAAAATACTAAAATACCATCGCATAGTTTGTATTTTATCTTCCATGAACCTATCAGTTATTGTCAATTTGCTGTTTGATACGCACGAACAGCTAGGGTAGTAGGCCACCGATATAAAAGTCCTAAGCAAGGTAGCGCCCCTTGTTTACACTCAAAAAGAGGTTAGCACATTTATGCCTAGCTTAACCAAAAGTTGCACCCCTGCACATATATGCCTAGCTTAGATCCTTCAAACCCGCATTACAAACAGAAATCCAATCCTGCCGTGCTGCAGTGTCTATTTATTTCACATTATAATACCAAGGATCACAGAATAGATCAAAACAAGAAGGTGTGAAGTACTCACAAGTGGAAACAACGTCGCCTTCACCACTGCCCCCATAGCTAACACGCTTAACTGGCACAACTAAGCCATTCAGCATCCCGTTCTTCTTGTGGTAGCCCTTCCTTCCTACTGCCACAGCAACTTCCTTCTTCCCCTCCCTCTCCTTTCCACCCTTCATCAAACCTCGCAGCGGGAAGACGCGCAAGCCACCAGCCTCCCCGAGCAGCAGCCTTCCCATTGCGACTTCCATCGCGTACACGGGCCGCGCCGGCTCGAGCTCGACGACCACGCACTTGTGCAGCTCCACCGTCCGGCCGTCCGCGGCCAGCTTCGGAGCGAGCACCCAGATCTGGCCGGCGGACAGGGAGAGCAGCGCGACGGCGTTGACCCCGCCGGCCAGGCGGACGCCGAGGCCGAAGGGTAGGCCCTGGAGCGGCAGGCCTGCGGCTGAGGCATGGCGCTTGAAGGAGAGCGAGGCGGGCGCAAAGCGCGGGAAAGCGGGCGCGGACGCGAGGGAATAGGCGCGGAGGTGGACAGAGGGGGAGCAAGGGGACGGATGCGCGGAGAGGAAGAGGAGGTGTGAGGACGGGAGGAGGAGCGCGAAGCAGGCGGCGGCGGCGAGTGGTGACGGGACGGGGGTGTGAGCGGGCGAAGACGAGGTGGCGACGGAGGGTAGGGAGGGGAAGAGGTGGGCAGAGGAGTCGGGGAAGAGAAGCGCGAGGGCACGGGCTGGGGAGGAGGGCGGCGCGAGGAGGAGAGACGCGGGGGCCGGGCGGGTGGGCGGGAGAGGGAGGCGATGAGCGCGTAGAGGAGGCGGCCCGGGCGGCGGAGGAGGGGGAGGTGGGGGGTGCGGCGGACGCGGAGGCGGCATGACCGCCGCCGGTGTCTGAGGAGGTGGTACGGCGAGCGACTAGGCGGAGACGGCGCTTCGGTCGTCGTTGGGCTGGGGCGCCTCTTGCGATAAATTTCAATATTTTGAATTGTTTCAATCGGAGGAAGGATTTGTCTCATTTCTTATTTCCACATACCTCTTTATACTGTTTAGGCCATAAGAAATGACGATACTATCCCAACCATTTCCATAGCCCCCGGAACTTAAATTTTAGACATATCTAACATATTTAGTCCAAATCAACGTAAACAATGCATAAATTATAATCAAATTTCAGCGTACACAATAGAACTAGTCATACAATTTAGTAAATAGGTTCAAGTTGACAATACAACCATGTAGGCAATTTAAAGAGTACAGGTTCACATAGAGACAATAGAATCATCCAGCCAATTTAAGATTACAGGTCCACATAGACAAAAGAAACATCCTAATGGCTGGGAATCTAGAACAATACAAAAGTCTCCAAACGTTGTTTTAGAAATATTCAAACATCGATCTTCTTTCTCTTCTTTGGAGTGAGTTTTTTCTTTAGACCTAGCCTCTTCCTTGGAGTGGCCATAGTATTACTCACCCCTTCTCCAGTTTGACTAAATACCATAGGAAAATAGACTGGTTCAATATATAAAGTAAGATAAGCACAAACATGTTAAACAAGGTGAATCATTTTACCTTATAGTCACTGCTCTAGGGCTTACAGTGGCCTCCAAATTCCACCATTGTTAATTGCATTTGGCTAAACATGAGACAAATGTTTATTTAAAAAATAGATAGTGTTCCAAGTTCCAAGTCAATGTTCAGTTTATAGAAATTCACCTTCTTGTAACAGGCCTGGGACTAGTGCTAATTTCTCTTGTGCCTTCTAGTTCTTGCACAGGTCCAGGACTATTATTCACTGAATTTTCTTGCACATGAACCTTCTGCCTTTTGGATGAACTAGGAGCCGCATCACCTTTGGTAGAAGTAGCAGGCCTACATGCCTTTCCTTTCTTGGCCTAACTTTTTCTGTAAATATAAAATTGAGATAAGTTCAAAATATGAAGAAAATATGAGTTAGGTTGAAAAAGGCAAACACATTTACCTCTTCTTTGTTCCATTAAGAGGACACTTTGGGGATGTTGTCATACCATGACCTAAACATTTTTTGCACTGCACTTGCCACATGCCTTTGCCCCTGGGTTTGCTTCCCTTGTTCTCAGTGCAGCTAGGTATTTTGAGTTTCCTTTGTCTTCCAACCTCTATTTTATCGAGTGGTGGTAGCAATTTAAATCCAGGATCCACACTTGCCCTGGTTTGATCACACCACCATAGGCTAGTCTAAAATGGTACACTGAATAGTACGAATCAAGGTAATCTTCCATCTTAGGATTTCTATGTGTGGTGATTAGAAGCAAAGCATGTGCACATGGTTTCTCTGAGACTTGCCACTCCCTACAGGTACATGTGTGATTCTGAATATTAACCACATGTCTTATGATCTTTTGTGAATCTGTGACCTCTGCTTCATCCCGTCCACCTTCTTTTATTTTCAAGTGACCCAACTGCCGACTCATTGCATATAGTTGGCGAACAACTATTGGCAGCATTACATGTCCTTCAAATTTCTCACCTATTCTCCTCCTTGCATAAAGCTCCATAAACTTTGACCTAAAAGTGTCAGCAAGGTCAACTATGGGAAGGTCATTAATGTCCTTCACCCAATTGTTCCAAACCTCTACCACATTATTAGTGATATGATCACACTTTATTGCCTCTGAAAATTTGCTCCTCATCCACTTCAACTTGTGATTGGCTTTCAACCATGGAAACCAAGTCCAATTATTAGTAGTCACACCATCAAAAAAAACCCAAATGCAACTGGAAACATTCAGTTGTGCCCATCTAGTGCTGTAGTTGAAGGTAAGTGGCCACTCCATCTACCATTGAGAGCTGTGGAGTCATACTAAAAAAATGGCCGACAACCATTTAGGAAACCATCAATGCTTGGTTTCAAACAACAAAAGAATATGTGGAAAAATACACCTTCCTCCTTATTCACGACGTGTATCTCTACAACACTTTCTGGCATCCTGAGCTCAATCTCTGCCTTGAAGTTGAACAATTATCCAAAACTTTCTTCCCATGTCCCATGAATTTGTTCTCCTGTCACAACAAAACCCTTATGCACAGTACCATACCCAATTTTGACTTGATACTTGTCCTCTAGCTCTTCTTGTATTTTGTTTGCACCCATGTTTGGATCCTTCATTAGTAAGGGGATCTCCTTCTCTGCTACCCAATGGTATGATGCCATCTTGGTCCTCACTCTTCCAGTAGATGGACAAAAATGCTTTTCTTTATTTAATGTAACCTGTTAAATGGAAACAAACATGTTAGTAACACAACATACATGCATGAGGACTAATACTGCATAATACATTAAGTTAGCATACTGCATATATGAAAAATGTTAGTACCCTGACTTGGACTTGATCAGGCATCAACCTTGCTACAATAGACCATGGACAACCCTTAGCTTTACAGTGCCCTCTGAACAAATCTTTGCAAGATTTCTCTGTTGTAAGTTCAAATTGTCCCTTTATAGCATGCTGCCGCACTACGGCCCTGAATTCATTCATACTAGCATATATGGTTCCAGCTTTCATTAGAGGGTCTTCTCTGTCATATAACACAGAATCCTCACCAGGTATACGATCATCAACCAACAACTCTGCATCTTGTAGGTCCACATCATCAAGATTAATTTCAGTCGCCATCCTAGCTTGCACAGCCCTCTTATCCTCTGCCCTAAGGCCAAAAACTCATACATTGCATCTTCATCCATCACAGGAAAGTGCAGCACCAATTTGATCTTGTCCAAGAGGAATAATCTCTAGACTGTCCTAGTCGATTGCATGAGAAACAAATGCCTCCTTGCTTGAATCTATTGGTCCTATGACATTATCATGCCCCACATTGCTTGTTGCTGCCTCTGTTACAGAGCTACAAAACACTTCTTGGGTTTGTCCTCAACATTAATAAACAAGAACAACTTCTTGTCACCCATCCTTTCAGAAAATGCAAGGGACAATTCTGCATCATTTAGCAATTTTCTTTCTCCACCACCACTCATGTCAAACTCATGTATTACAGGTTGCTGCCCGCTTCCCCAATTGAGCCTAGCTTTCAAGTCATTTTCTAGCATCTCCAAATTATAAGATCGACAATCCACAACCCATTCATCACATTTTTGTGGCACATAAATAGAGTGACCATCATTGAACTTAGCAGTGAACTGAGAAAACTGAACGAACAACCTAAATGCGCCATCTGGATCGACTCTACCGTGTGTACCAACAATAAATAAATGAGACACAAAATGAGGATTTAGGATTGGGGGCTTACTCAGGAGGAGCCATCAAGATGGAGGGGGAGGACAGCCTACTGGAGCGATGCCAGCAGGGAGACCGGTGGTGCCCGGCCTACGGCGATGGAAGAGCATGCCGCCCCCAAACCCTAGGCCGACGGGCCAGGGAAGGGCGGCTGGCGGAAGGGGCCTCGACGGGCGGAGGGGAACTAGGCAGGCGGCAGCGGGCGGCTGGCGGCGACGGGCGGCCACCGGCAACGGTGAAAGGTCCTAATGGCTAGAGGAGGGGGGTGAATAGCCTATTAAAAAATTCTACAACAACACTTTGTAAACCGGTTAGACAAATATGAGGCGAAGCGAGTGTTGCGCTAGCCTACTAAAAATACAAGACACCTACCACAATTCTAGTTTATATAGTCTCTATCCACACAATGGCTATGTCACTACACTAAGTTAGTGTGCTCTCAAAGGCTAACTAAAGAGCCACACTAACCAAACTAACAAGCTCTCACGACTAGCTACACTAAAGAGCTTGACAACTAGTTTGCGGTAATGTAAAGAGGGAGAGCAAGATGGTTATACCGCCGAGTCGATGAATGAACCAATCAATCACAAGAATGAGTACCAATGAAGACCAATCACCTTGGAATCAAATGATGACAATAATTTTTTACCGAGGTTCACTTGCTTGTTGGCAAGCTAGTCCTCGTTGTGGTGATTCACTCACTTAGAGGTTCACACGCTAATTGGCATCACTCACCAAACCCTTAATAGGGTGCCACACAACCAACACAAGATGAGGATCACACAAGCCACGAGTAATTTACTAGAGTACCTTTTGGCTCTCCGTCGGGAAAAGGTCAAGGACCCCTCACAATCACCACGATCGGAGCCAGAGACAATCACCAACCTCCGCTCGACGATCCTCACTGCTCCAAGCCGTCTAGGTGGCGGCAACCACCAAGAGTAACAAGCCAAACCCGCAGCGAAACACGAATACCAAGTGCCTCTAGATGCAAATACTCCAGCAATGCACTTAGATTCACTCCCAATCTCACAAAGATGATGAATCAATAATAAAGATGAGTGGGAGGGCTTTGGCTAAGCTCACAAGGTTGCTATGTCAATGCAAATGGCCAAGAGAGTGAGCTTGAGCCGGCCATGGGGCTTAAATAGAGAGCCCCACAAATAGAGCTGTTGGCTCGCTGTTCCCTGAAAAATTGGGGCGACCGGACGCGTCGGTCGGATTGACCGGACGTAGGACCCCAGCATCCGGTCCTTAGATTTTCACCACGTGTTCCTGGCTTCAAATGTTGATTGCCCGATCTCAATGGTCATCGGTGCACTTAAGTTGTGACCGGACGCGCAGGCAAGCTGACCGGACGCACCACGCCCGCGTTAGGTCCTCATGCGCCTGCGCACCAACACCCAACGATCGGACGCACCGATGGAATGACCGGATGCTCTAATAACGTGGAGTCCGGTCACTTCCAGAGAGCATCCAGAGTAGCATTTTCTTGATCGGACGCGTCCGGTGTACCTCGACCGGACCTAGCTCAGCATCTGGTGCAATACCCTAGGTTACGCTGCCTCGGCTTCTTCTGATCGGACTCACCACTGTCGCGTCCGATCA